ATGACAATGATTGAGTTAGAAGATTTCTTGTGTTTTGTCAAACTTTAAATTGAAATACAAAGTTATAGTGTATAGCAAGTACAAAGTTGTATGCATAAAGTTTAAATTCACTTGTTTTTTATGCTAAATAGGATATCCATATGTTGTGACAAAAGTCAATCATTATAAGTACACATGTTTGTTTAACTTTATTTAATAATATATGCGTGACTTAATCCTTTACAATATTTTACTTTATTTTAAACCATTTCATTACAATAATAACAAGATAATGTCAATCACATGCTGATAAAGGCATGAGGATAACAAAACCTAAGAGGCAATGACATACACACTATATATTAAGGGTTCCTTCAGCACTACCATCCACAACTACCCCCACTCCACTCAACGAAAGGTTATCATTTGCAGCACACCCTCTTTTGGTATCCACAATAGACCCTCCTCTTCAACCTACATCAGACCCTCCTATTGATCCCACAATATTCTTTATATTACTTAATAAATTTTGTTTACAAAAACCTAATATATCTTAATTTGGAATATTCTTTATCACTTTAATTATATCAATAAATATTTTTAATGTTTGTGTTAAGTTAATCATGAATAAAAAAAATAGTTAGGAAACATTAAGGATTTGAAATTAAAAAATAATTTTATAAAAATTAAAAAGCATTAAATTTACCTTGAACTAAAATTATATTAAATTTTAAAAGCAAATAGAATAAATAGTCAGTTTAGTACAATAAATAATATGTTTCTATTTTAATATAATAAAAAGTTATAATTTTAGTTAAAAAATTATTTTTTTTAATTTTGTTTGAATTTTATTGTTAAAATAATTAAGTATATATTTGATTTTTATTCATTGTCATATATTATTATTAAATAAAAATAAAAATAAATTAAATTATATAAGATTTTTATTAATTGTTATTTCAATTTTTTTACTTAATTCTGTAGCAAACGCATCCTTAATGAAAATCACACAAAAATCACTCAATTGTATATCAAAGAGAAATATGAATGAGTATCAAGATGCTAAGTTTGATCCAACCAGTAATTTAATACAATTTGCTAAAATCAACAATTGAACAGTGCACCTATTCTCAGAACCGTACACCAAAGCCAGTGACGAACTCCTACTCCACGTTCCATTCACTCTATCGAACTATAGCAGATTGCTCAGATTTCACCATCCCATAATTCCTCGACAGTTTTGTAGGCACCACAAGTTTCATGGACGAATGTGGTGCCCCTCAGTAACCTTGCCTGCAAGAACAACCACCCCTGTCATAAAACTTGACAATGCTTCCATCAAACTGAATTTCAGATCAAAGTGGCATACTTATTAATTGACAAATTCCAACTATTATGCTTGCAAAAATATAGGAAAAAATACAAAGAGGGATTTGCTAGATGGATCAGATATAAACTCTTCCTCTAGGTTGACAATTAAATAATGTTACCTGCTGAATCTCAGAAAATTTAGCGAGTAAGTCCGCAGGGATAGACCAGCCAAAAATATCAAAATTCTCCTTTATCCTTGCTTCATTTGTACTCTTGGGAAGCACACTATGACCCATTTGAAGTCCCCAGCGAAGAGCTAATTGTGCAGGAGTTTTGCCTAGCTTCTCCGCAGTCGTATTTAAAACTGGGTGCTTAAGAACATCACTTTTAAGCCAGGGTGTTCCAGGGGAACCCAAAGGTGAATATCCCTAAACATGTACAATAAAAAGATCACAGATGAAATAAGAAAAATTAGATACAAGATAATGTTTCATGACAACAAACAGGCTGGTTTATAAATAGCGACCATAATGCGAAGACAATTCTAGAGTCTAGAGTTATAAACTTACAGAGAGGTGGACACCTTTGGATTTGCAGAAAGCTCTCAGCTTCTCTTGCTGCCATGAAGGATGACACTCCACCTGGTTGACAGCAGGAGGAACACGAGCAACTTCAAGCAAATCTGCCAGCTTTTTGGTGGAAAAATTGCTAACGCCTATAGCCCGAGCCTTGCCAGAGTCAAAGAGTGCTTCCATTGCCTTCCATGTGTTAGGTATGTTTGCTTGCACAAGATTTTCAGGATTAAAGCCTTGTGTTCCTTTTTTCATTGGAGTTGGCCAGTGGATCTGAAAAGACAACCGAGTTTCCAATTGTGTATATCATCAGTATCAATGCACCCAATTTTGAAAAAACAAAAATCTAAAACAAAACAAAAGCCGCTAAACAGTGCAAGAAATGTTAATTTAGTTTTTTACTTATACTCATTAGTTAGTTATTTAAGGCTTACGAGATTTAACTTTGACAGTCAGGGAGATTTAGTTCGTAGAGTAATTAGAGTTACTTTGTGGGGCTGCAATAATTAGAGAACTAAGAGATGTGGATTATAAATAACAAGAGAGGTTGAGAAAATTGTGAGCTTTAGTGATATTACATACAAGATACAAGTCTACATAATCAAGCTGCAAATCTTTCAAAGTCCTGTCCAATGCCAGCGGTACATCTTCTGGAGCATGATCAGTATTCCTACAGATCATCTTAAATCCTTGAGTTATAAGCAGTGAAGACTATTAATTTAGCTTAAAAACGGAACTAAACTGATTAATCTAGAATCTAAAATCAAACCAGAGTTTAGATGTAATCCACAAATCCTCGCGCTTCACTACACCCTCCTCAAACAGCTTCTTCAACATAGAGCCAATCTG